ACTCCTTCAGTCATGAGTAACAACAACAACAAACTTCATTGTAAAAAGGAGCTCAGTGGTATCTCAGTGGTATCTTACCAAGGAAGTGCGGTGTGCCTCAGGAGATAACTGGACCCTAGGACTCTGACTGGACAGGACTCTGTCTCGCTCTGTACTTCATCTCATTGTTTCTAATGCCACAATACCTGGCACGCAGTAGATCACTTACTAAATGTAGTTGAATGAATGAATGAATCTTAACCTATGATAAATTCCAGGAAACTCAAAGTAAAGGTAATTCTGTTGATCTAGTTTAAGATGATCTAAGCTAGCAGTATTTCCTTTGGCGAACCAACTAATTAGGAATACTTTGCCTTTTAAGTCTGATACCACAGGGTCTTATGATTAACAGCCACTAACAGTGGGCTACCAAGCCTTTCAACTTTAGAGTGTGAAACCCCGTTTATAAACATTATATTCGACTCCTTTGCCAACCTTCATCGTATTCTAATTCTTCACTAAGATCATATATACCTTGATTATTTCAGTGGACTTTTACATTTTTTATAGGTAATTACATGGCTAATATGCCCTTAGAAATGGCTTAAGAAATGTTAGAGACTTTCTTTTTTCCGTTACAAAACACCAAGAATATGATGGACATGGTGGTGAGAAATAGCATGATGGCCACACTCACCTGACACCATGCCTGCATTTCTCACAGGAAGTAAGGACCAAAATAGAACTTCCTTTGATGAGAAAAGCTTCTTTGGGGAAAGGGGCAGTATAAATATTCCTGTTAAATGTCTTCCTTCCTGCTGTTGGTCAGAGCCTAGATGAGGGGAGTGAGATTTTCTTGAAAAAATAAGTGAATTACTAGTAGTTTATTTTGCCAAGAAAAGACTTCTGGTTATCCCAGGTAAGTGCTAATGATTAGTAGCCTAGTCTCAGTTATAATTATATATGCTCTAATGTTTTTGCATTTTTGTTGAATATTTTTTTATTGTGATCGAACATTGAAAACAGATTGTAATCTGTCAGTTTTTATTATTGATCAGTGGTGAGCCATAACTGGACATTGGGACAATCCTTGATTGGTAGATTTCTCTGGACCCTTTTATTATTTTTATACTTGAATATAGTTAGGATCTGAGTATTCTCACCTACCTCCCCAGAAAACTCAGCATCTTTGCTTGTGAATTAGGTCTGTGTTCTCCAGGGTTTTATACAGATGGAATCACAGTATGGCTTTGGTCTGGCTTCGACACTCGGCATCACTATCTTGAGGTCTCCCACGTTACGTCTGTCAGTCATTCCCCTTTACTGCTAAGAAGCACTGGAAAGTACTCGGCTCTCTGAAAATTTATACTTATACCCCCAAACAAACATATCGACCCCTATATTTTTATTTTTGAAATCTTTTTGTAAGATCTTTTTGCTTTTTAAATTTCTATTCTTTAGGAAATAATATTTATCTCTCTGAAGTTTAAGCCATATCTTTAGTTTTGTTTGTTACTTGTCGTTAACTTCTTGTAAAATTAAAGTTAACCTTGATTTTAGATTGGAATAGCGCTCGTTTCCTAATTCTCAATTATTCACCACTTCTTCAGCCTGTACATTCCCCACAGTGTGTCAGGTCACCCGAGAGCAGCTGGCAGATGGCCGGGAGTCCTCCGTTCCCAGCTTTCCGACTCGGAGAACCTAACATCGTCTCCAAGTGACTTTCCATGTGACCTATTTATATGTAAGGAAGCCTTTGGGGAGGACCTGCCAGACAAAAAGGTTTTTCTCATCCTGTTATTCAGGAGTCTGATGACTGCTCACAGTCAGCATCTGCTTCTCTGCCTGACCTACCTGCTGTGTCAGAAACGGCCCTCATTAAATCAGGCCAGGTCACTCAGAACCCCGCTAGAGTCAGTCCCAAAAAGCAAGCCACAGACAGAATGTGTCCTGAGCGATGGCCGTCACCTCATCTAAATTCTAGCCGCCCAGGTTGCTCTCCTGTGACTTGCTCTCCTAGCCCTAACTTCACATCTCAGCGCTGAGGCCCAGTCTCTCTGATCTCCCTGATTTAAGGGTGTGAAGTGAACTTCCCCTTTGGCTTGCTCATTGGACTTTGGCTTTGCTTATTCCTTGATTTAGTATCCCTCAATATCTTGAGTGAGAAACTGAATCTTCCGCTTTAATTTTGTGTAGTCAGAGCAGGCTCTGTCTCTCTTACCGTCTTTTGACCTAACTGGGAGAGGGGAGGATCAAGGATGAATCCAACATCTGTTGCTAGGCCATGAAGCAGTTTTTCGGATTATAGCAAACCACTGAGCTGAAGTGGAAAATGGAATAACCTTCCCTATGAGCTTTCAGATCACGGACTTTTCTGTGTCTGGATACTATCACGTGACTATTTACAGCAATCCCGAGTGATCACGTTCTCCTCCAGACTCTCAGGCACTGTCCATGCCGAGACCGTTCTCTCTTTTCCTAGAATGCCTCCCTTGGACAGATCACCCTACTCCCTGCTGGGGTATCTGTAAACAAGTCTTTTTTCTTTTCTACCTAGAGAAATGAAATGATATCTGGTAGCTTTCATGGATTCATCCAGAACTTTTACACGATCTTTTCTAAAAATTGCTTTTCCCTGTTTCTAGATGATGATGTGGCCTCTCAAGTTACTCATTACGCAGTCAGGGACCCGGCGGGCCCACCTGTTGTATCAGGAAGACTTTTTGTTATCTGAGATCTTCAGAGTACTTCTCCGATCCCCTTGGCACGTATCCTACCTTCTGATAGTCTAGCTGCCCAATCACTTAACTGTTCGATTTTTTTATTATAGTTAATGGCAATAAATGGTTCAGTTCTGGAGAGGTGCCAGTTATATACCTGTATTTTGGTTTTTCTGAATATCTTGACGGGTGTTTGAGTTTCATCTCTTTTTTCTTTTAGTGGGGATATTACCCTTTTAAAGGTACATTTTCACTGGGGTTTTGAGTAAAATTGATAAAAACTGGCAATATCACCCACATGATTACATCGTGATAAGGGATTTCTAGTCCCTTCTCCAGAAACTACTCAACTCAGTTCACAAACCGTGGAAAGTCTTATCTTATTCCTCTCTGTGTCCTAGAATATTTATGTTTTCAAATTCCCTAGAAGAGATTTATTAAAGAGTTCACTTTAAAAATCACAGCATTTCCTACAAAATAGCAAAAGAGTGAATTACATAAAAGTTCAATTTTCTCCATCTTTTTGAGACCTAAGATTTCTTATCGCCAATCCAGATTTTAATTTTAATCCAATCCCTTATGCTGCTTAAATTTTCGGAGTTGTGAAAAGTCTCCCCGTATTGAATCATACTCCTTTGTCTTTCTGTGATTGACACAGAAGGCTTCCTTGCAAGGCAGACGATTTCAAGGGGATTTTGAATACAGAAAGGGGACCTATGTACTAAATAGAAATTGGATGGAATTTTGCTTCAAGAGATGATGGAGAAGTTTCTTGTAGGCATAGTGTATCCACAGCAGCGGTTTGTGCTAAGGATGGAGTTTCCCCAGCGGGTACACTACGTCATATGTGAGCCGTAGGTGATTCCCTTTCTGTTTTAATAGTAGGTTCGGAGAATGGCCTGAGATTTGTCCTTCGGACAATCGCTTTGACTACATTGGCAGCACTACAGGCTCGTCATTGCCCGGGCTGCAGCTACCACGCCCCAGTTTCTCATGTGAAAGGTTATGTTTTAAATGTTGTTTCTCTTTTAGATCTATCTTCCCCATCCACCCTGCCTTCAGAATCATCGCCTTGGCAGAGCCCCCCGTAATTGGAAGCGCAACCCAGCAGTGGCTGGGGCCGGAATTCTTGACCATGTTCTTTTTCCATTACATGAAACCACTTGTCAAAAGTGAAGAAATCCAAGTGATCAAGGAAATGGTAAGAGCAAGGCCAGCTCGAGCCTGTTGCCTTCAGTTTTTCTCTTTTTAAAGCCTTCTGACTCCTGCTGGAGCAGAGTTGGACATTTTTGACTTTTTCTCCCCATTTACACCCAAATTTCCTTATATAATTGTTCCCAAACTTTAACACTGTACAGAGCCATCTGAAGGACTTGGTAAAATGCAGATGGCAGAGTCAGTAGGTATGGGCCACGGTCCATGAGAGTTTGCATTTCTCAAGTTCTTGGGGGACTCTGATGCTGCTGGTCTCGGGAGCGTGCTTTGAGAACCATGGATGTAGGCTGTCTTTCCTCTCTCCTTGTGTGGAGGCAGTTGGGCAGGGGGAGGGGTTCCTCTGCCTTTTATATGCAGCCAAAGATGACTATTTTCAGTTTCTACTGAAAAGGGAGGTTAAACACATTTTAATTCCTTAGATTCTGTAGAAAATGCTATGGAGTCCTGGGCCCCTCGGTACTGTACTATGTCCTAAGCTCCACTTACCTGCTTAGTTGTCTGGTGGTTGTAGTGTCTATAATCCATTACTTCAGTGTCTGCCTTAAATGGGCATTGTGCTCAGCATTTTCAGAGTTTCAGGACTGTACGATTCAATGTAGTAGCTCTAGCTACATTAAATAAACTTTTAAAATTCAGTTTCTCAGTCATTCTTCAGGTGGTCAATAGCTACATGGGGGCTTTTGGTCAGCATATTAGAAAGCATAGGTAAAGAACATTTCCATCATTGTAGAGAGCCCTGTTTGGACAGTGTTGTTCTAGATCACAAATAATTAACTTTTTACATAAATGAACTCATTCTCTTTAAAACGCCAGAACGAACTTTTTTGGTCTTGCTGTGAGCGTGGTCTGGATGAGGCTGTCGTCTTTAAAGACAAAGAACCGGCCATTAAATGCCAAGTCCACTACCTGTTAGCTTGCACGTCGTGGGCAAATTACTCAGCCACAGTTCCTTCACCTAAAGATGAGGATAATACTACTTGTTACATCACAGGGTCGATTTAAAGAATAAATGAGGTCAAGAATGTACTCGAACTTAGAATGTTAAAGTTTCAGCCACCTAAGTGACCAAAGAAGCCCTGAGCAGTGGCGTTCTGAATGCGCATTCCGTCGGCCATGCTCTGTCGTCTCTCTCTGCTCTTTCGTATTAAAACTTGAAGTTTGTTCTTGTATAAGTTTTCTTCTAATCGATTAAATATTTAATCAGATTAAAATTGTTATTTTAATAGTTAAAGGCAAACCACGTGTGTTATTTGGGCAGCTGTTCTTTAGAGTTCACTGGTAAATTGATCGTGTCCCTTGGGTATGTGCTTGAAAAGTCCTTGGAAAAATGCACAGCCCTACTTATATGAGTTGGTAGACATGGGCGTAAGAGGACTACTAAATGAAGGAGTTGGTTTTAGTAAGAAAATGCCTAAGTTAGAGTTTAGAAAATGATGCCGAAGCTACCTAACAGGAGAACGGTAATATATGACATTTTTATGGGCATACTATTTGCCAGTTTTAGAGTTAGAGGCTCCTTTTAGTTCTATGCCGGTGACAGAATTGCAGATGGAGAAGGGGAGCTTGGTTCTGATCACCTGATTCTTAAAGAGAAGAGGGACCGGCGTAAGTGTGTCCTGAGAAGATGAATAAGTACATTTATCCATGAATTAAACACGTAACCTGTAATCAGGGACTTTCTAAAAATGTAATTCTGATATTATTTGCTAAGTAGCCAGAATTTATGGTTTATCGATTAGATATCCCAGTTTATTCTTTCTGTCTTTCCTCATTTCGCTCATAATATAGGTCCCAAGTATACCTCAGGAAGCCTTGGACAAACTGTTATCGTTCACACACAGACTCAGAGAGACACAGGACCCAACGGTGAGTATGGATCTTCCGTTGTTGACAGTCTGCTACTTGATGTTCTTAGAGTTCAGTGCTTTGAAATCGTTTTATTTTTGTTAAGCTGGTATTTTTATTCCTATGTGGTGCTTTGTCCTGTGCACAGGTTTTACTCTTTCAGCGATTTTCACATTTCTTCCAGCTCCTCATGGCCGATATCACGGCAAATGGCTCTAGCTCCAGAGGACGACCGGGCACCCCGGGGGCTCTGCCTGCTCCTCGCGTATTCTGTGCTGAGCGGTCTCTTCTGTTCTTACGGCTTCAGGTGCCAGCTCTAATTCCTACACCTTCATCTTCAGCCTCCACCTTCTCTTTTCTGATCGAGTCTTTATTTCCGATTGTATTTCCATGCTGGGATCGTACGTCGGGAAGATCCAGGGCTGTCACCGCCTAACTCCGAGTCTGTAAAACAGGAACAGCGCCACGTCCCTCGTTAGGGACGCTGCGATGATGAGATCACTGTCAACGCCTCACATCTTACAGAACTAAACGGTCTCCCCCTTTACATCCATTCCCATTCCCTGTTTAATTTTCCGACTTTGTTAATAATCTGTCTGCCGTTACCGAAGTGAGAAACCCCGACGTCACCGCTGATTCCTTGTTTTCTCACTGTCTCCCCTTCCCCTGAAAGCAGACTCATCAGCTCAGATCTCAAAATCAGCTGTTCCCTTTCTGTCGTCAGTCGTTGTCCCAGTATTGGATTTCATAATTTTCCTCCTAGAACATCGCTGTTTCCTCTTGTCTGCCCTCTTCACCAGTAATCCATTCCTTCCTCGTAGGGCTAGCTATTGTTTTCCTGTGGCTCTTGTAGGAAATTACCATGAACTGGTGGGTCTGGACACCAGAAGTTTGGAGTGGGTGTCATTGAGCTGAAATCAAGGTGTCAGCAGGGTCTCGCTGCCTCGGACACCCGAAGGAAGAATCCGTGCCTTTCCTCTTCCAGCTTGTGGCGGCTGCCAGCATTCCGTGACCCATGGTCTTGCCATTTCAATCTCTGCCTCCATCATTATGTCACCTTCTCTTCTGTGTGTCTGTGTCAAATCTTTCTCTGCCTCCCTTTCACAAGGATGCACACGATTGCATGTAGGGGCCATCTAAATAGTCCAGGATGGTCTCCTCATCTCAAAGTCTTTAATTTACTGTAACCTACAGAGTCAGCTTTGCCACAGAAGGGAGAGTTCACAGGTTCCAGCAATTAGGATGTGGACATCTTTGGGGTACCATTTCCTAGCTGTCACAGGCCCTGTTAATTTCCTCTGGGGCCTCATCTCCAGTGACTTCCCCTTACTCATTCTTTTCAGCTTCACCATTCTCCTCGTTGTCCCTTAAACACACGCACACCTGCCTCAGGACCCTCGACGCTTGCTGTGTCCTCGCCTGCTCTCCCCAGTGTCTGCAGGTCGGTCCTCGCACCGCTTTGGGACTTGCTCAGATGGCTCCTTCTCAGAGAGGCCTTCCTTAAAACACTCTATTTAGAATCATATGTCCTCCCCACTTCATGCCTTTCCCTCTTCCCGTTTTAAGGTTCTTCATAGGGCTTATTACCCTTTGACATAATTTATGTCTCGCTCCCTTATTTTTCATTGTCTGTTTTCCCTCACTCAGAGTTGAGTTCTGGGGTGGCAGAAGTTTTGTTCGTTTTGGTCCCTGCCGTACCCCAAGCATCTGGAGCCGCGCCTGCTGCATAGGCGTCCAACAAACCACTGTTAAGTAAATGAATGAATAAATCCTCCGTCTTGTCTCAGGAGAGAGCTTTCCCTAATCCATTTCCTAAGTTCTTCTCCTTTTTAAAACTGATAAGAGCTGGATTCTCGTTGTCTGTAGCCCGAAGGCTAAGATGCCGGAGGCTCCCATCTGCCCTGGCTGCTCGTCCAGCCGCACAGCCCACGGCCTCTGGCGAAGCACCCTCGGCTCTGCCACTCTTCGCTTCCTCCCGTTTTCCAGGCCCGGCACTTAGGCGACGTCTCTGCCTTTGATGACGCCCGCAGTGCGTCTTCCCTCTGCCCACTCGTCGCTCAGGTTCTGTTGTCAGGTGTCTCTCAGCCTCCTTGGGCAGAGGTAACCTCTATATCCAATCTGCTCTCGTGACATTCGGCATATGCTTCTCATAGTGGCCCGTCACAGTGCTGTCACGGTGTATCTTCATCTCCCCAGTAAGAATTTGAACTCACTGAGGCTGGGTCTCATTCATTCTTTCATTCCCATTTCCCAGCCGAGTGCCTTACTACACAGTTAAATGTTTGATGAATGAATGAATAAATCGATTAATAATAATTAATTATCAGGTTGTCCCTGGAGTTTTCTCTCCCTGAGAACATGTTACATTTTCTAAAAAGAAATACCTCCTTAACAGAAGAGAAAAATTCTTTTTAATAATTTTGATCGAAATCTTCGTATTTTTAAGCCGAAGCACTATTATTAGTCATGTTAATGTGAAAAACCCTTACGGTGTGCTCTTAATCTGCATGGCCTCGGTGACTCGGGGAATGTGCCCACATCCTCACCCGCTGTTTTGCGAGATAAAGCTGCAGTTAGAAACTTAATACTATAAATGGTCAATATATTCGGAATTGTAAAATGAAAGTATACTCTCAATTTTTAATTGCTAATAATGTGAGAGCAGAGATAACCAAACCCTTATTCAACACTAAAATGGCCCAATGTGAAGCTTGGTTCTGATTTTTTTAACACTGGATGTTATTGCAGAGCATTTGGTGTCATCAGCTGAGGGTGCTGATATTTTTCAAATTCACGAGACATCCTCACTGATCACTGGGATGAGCCGTGAAGCCCGAGTTCGGTGTCAGGCTTAGAACAGGATCCGCATGTTGTGCGGGAGGAAGTCACCATGCAGTTTATGGGGGCACCCTTGCCACCTGTGTTGACCCCTTCCCTCCCTGCTTCTGGCCAGGAGCCTCGCTGGGGGACTCCCCTTTCTGTGGGCGGTCCAGTCTCAGTGCTGCCTGGCCTTCAACACCGTTACCTGCTGCTGCCCCACTAATCTTTCTCAAATCTGTTACCATGTCGCACATCCCCAAGTCCTGCTGCCTTCAGGAGCCGGGCCAGTTGCCTCGGTGTCGGTGGCGGGACTTTGTTATTTGGCAGCGGGGCTTCAGACGGGCCCGGCGGGAACGCGGCCCGACACCCCGGAAACGCAGCCGGACCCCCCGCGTTCTGCTCCGTGTGCGTTTGCGCCTTTGCTCGCCGCGTTTCTCCCGCCCCCTTGAACGTTTGAAGCCCCTGTAGAAGCTGTCAAGTGCTCTACTTATTTCGGCATTAAATGATGTGCTATTTTGAATTGCAATTTATGCTTTCTTATATTTAAATATTTCTTCATGTCTAGAATGCAAATTTGTTGGAAACAAGGATGTTTGCTTATAATGTTTGCTTATAAATGAGTTCTTCGAAACATAGAATGTGTTTTTTAATAGAAAAAGAGATATGTCAAAAATGTGTCATGCTCCCTACCTAGTCCCCAAAGGCCCCTGTACCCCGTGCTGTAGCCAAAATAAAATACTCATAAGAGCAGCCCAGCATCTCAGGGAGCTGCGAACTACACGAGGGAGGAGAAATCAGTTCATTCTCTCTTCCTGGGGACATACAGAGATGACCTCACGTGAAATGCCGAAACAAGCGAATATGCAGTGTCTCTTTGGCCTCTTCCCATGTCCCCTCTGAACCCCTCGTTAATGTCGTAGAGTCCCCTTCTCTGTCTGGTGCTCACAGCCGCTTTACTGTGCTCGTCAGGCTCTGACATTTTGCCCTGGCCTGTTCTGCCATCCCAAAAGACCAGTTGCTTCAAAAGTTATTCCTTTCTCTGGTTTTCAGTGAAAAAGCTTCGTCTCCTAATGGTACTGATCTAAGGTAGGAATTAGGCCAGTGATAATCTGACTCATTGAATTCATACTAATGTGTAGGTCACGTCCTCTTCCTCTGTTGGTTTTCTTTTTATTTTGAGGAGGCTGATTTTTAGTAATAATTACCAGCATTCATTGAGTGCCCATCTGTGTCTGACTTATGCCCAGTGCTTTAGAATAATTGTCTAATCCTCGTAGAAACTTTAAAGTTACTGTTACCACCATTTTAAAGATGAGGAAACTGAGGCTTGAAGAGGTTAAGAAATTTCTCGAGCTCACACAGCTAATAAATGGGACCCTGATTTGTCTGATTCCAACGCTTATAAACTTTACCATTACATTAGGCCGCCTGCCAAGTTCATTTCAAATTCAAGTTAGCAAATATTTACTGGTACTCACATGTCCTCAGTTCTGTACTAGCACATGTGCTGTTGGGATTTGTAGACATCCAAGAAGACAAGTAAAATAATTCCGACAGCATAGGGAAAGCATTCTGAAAAGAGAGCTGCCACCCACGTGACAGTCTCCGTTGACATCTCTGTGGTAAGCAGCCTCCTTTTCTGTATTTCAGAAGCCATAGATTTACTTAAAGCTCTAAGCATTTTCAGAATAGCTTAACAGTTTGACTTTGTGTAAGCAGAAAAAAGGAAAAAATCGTTGATTGTACGTAAGAGCTATTTTTAAGTCGAGTGCAGCCTGTATTACATTAACATCCTTCTTCCATTTACCCTCTACCTCCCCCCAAAAAAGTGTATGCACAGCACTTAGCACGATGACAACACTTTAATAGACTTTAATTGTAAACACTTCTTGTAGATTTTTTTAAAAAACTATCTTTAAGCCTGCGTTAGGTGCAAATTGATTTCTGTTTATTTTTGTTTAGAATTCATTAACAGTGCATATTTAGGTTTG